ATATAGATATATATATATATATATATATAGATGATAATAATAATAATAATAATAAATAATAAAAAAAACCAGAAACGGTGTAATTGGTTACTACAACTTTCCCAAGAAGAGCAGACATTATTGAGTTTTTGTGATGTGTCCGACGTGAAAAATAATAACAACTCAATAATAGTACTAGTTAGCTAGACGAACCGTTAAGGAACTGAATGCATGGCAATTAGCTAGAGAGAGAAAGAGAAGCCCCCTAATTCATGATGGCTCTTGATTGCTCGAAGGGGGGAGTTATTTAATTTAAATAATTAATTTACTAGCATTCCAAATTTATTCCGGTTCGAACCAGAAACCCTAGAAAGTGGTTGATACCATTTATATCCCCAACATGAACTGGACCCCCTGTGGCAACAATGATTTTCTTGCAATAAATATACGAGCCAGGAGTCTGGGGTGGGTGGGTGGTTTGGGGGGTGGGGGTGGGGGTGGGGGGGCGGCGGCTGTTTTAAAACTGATGGGTTAGTACACGAGGAGAGTCGAGTGTTTAATTGAGTTCGCGGGAGATGCTTATACTATTCTCCTACAATGTATATACGCGTACATTTATTTATTTTATTTTATTTTTTTTATTTTTAATAATGGGTGTACTCTGTACAGGGTACATTTATGTATGAGAATGAAGGTCTGAGTAACTGAGTAAATTGATTGTGAGGATAATTAATTTTCTGAATTCTGTGTATTGAGGATGAAAAAAGTAGATATATGTTTAAATTGTTATTATATATATATATATATATATATATATATATTATATATTACAAATTAAAAAAATGTAGGTTGTGCATGGACCATTGTGGTTAGACGCCCCCTGGCAGTGGCGTATCTAGTGTGGTCCAAGGGTGTGCTACTGCACACCCTTGATTTTAAAAAAAAATTATTTCCTATATATTTATCATTATATAACTGCAAATGTAAAACTTTGTCAATGCATGCTGTAGCTTAACTGGTTAAGTGCTCTATAGAATTCGTCCGAGGTACAGGGTTCGAAACCTGAGAGTCTCAACCTCTCATATTATTGTTTCTTTTTTATTCCTAATTTTCAATTACATACAATATTTCAATTGTTTTAAAAAATTTTGAATATGTGGGTATTTTTTAATATTAAAAAAAAAATCTCCTAATATAACATATATTTTGCTATTTGTAACTTTAACTTATTTACCATTTCTTTAATATTAAATATAATATAAATTATTCCAAAATTCAATATTTCAATTGTTTTAAAAAATGTTGAATATGTAGGTATTTTTTAATATTTAAAAAAAATCTCCTAATATAACATATATTTTGCTACTTGTAACTTTAATTTATTTACCATTTCTTTAATATTAAATATAATATAAATTATTCCAAAATTCTAAATATTGAATATATATATATATATATATATATATATATATATATATATATATATATATATATATATATATATATATATATATGTGTGTATTATTTCAATTTTTTTCTATATATACAACTGTGTGGGTTTTTTTTTTCTTTTTGAAAATTCAAAATCTGCTAATGAAACGTACATTTTGTCACTTGCAACTATAATATGTTTACCACTCGTTTAATATTTTCACCAATTTTATGTCTAAATATTTCCTAAATTTGCCCAAAAATGGTAAAATAATCCCTTTAAATTTAAAAATTTTAAAGATTTTTTATTATTTAATGTGTATAGTATTCAAAAAAAAAAAAAAAATCGGGGGCGCAGCCCCTGAACCCCCGTAAACTATTAGCCAATCATTATATTTTTTACTATATTTAATTTCGAACACCCTTGACAAAAATCCTGGATTCGCCACTGCCCCCTGGTACTGACATCGCGTGAATAGCATTGAAGTTTGTCGGGCCCCGGCCCCCTATCGTTCCTCCGTCGCCGGGCCTGAAAGTACTAGATTTTGTAAACGTAGTAGAAAATTAAACCAGGGGTTCGTTCTTGCATGGCTAATGCAATATTACGTGGAAACTGGAAATGGTGTCCGTTTCGCACACGCGCGCAGTTCCTGGACGTTTACGAGTTCTAATCTAAACTTATCCGATATAGGTAAACAAATAACATAAACTGAAACTTGTAGGTTTTTCATTTACTTCCTCTGGCAGAATTTTCCAAAATATCAGCATATAAATCTATAAATGTTTTTTTTTTTTAATCATTATTAATATTTTTTTTTTATTTCAAGAATATATGTAGCCAGTGATTGTGAGTAACTGAGTATATATACTAGTCAAACAGTAAAAAAGATTTGAAAATATATAGTAAGTAATTATTATTTACAGCTATTGCATTGAAAAATATCTATAAGAGCATCACCAACCACACCTGCTATATAATTAATTATAAAGTTATTTTACCTCATGAATAATATTTTAACTCCCAGTACTCCAATTATATCAGTCACTATTATAGTTACGTTTTAACTGTTTATCATTTTGACTTTTCACTTTCATCACTATTAATATAATTATATTAATATTTTTTTTTCTTCTTTTATCTTTCATAAATTATTGAATATCTATACATAACATTTCTGCATTATTGTATATATATGCTGTTACCCGTTACCGTGGTATATCGAGCCAAAATAATTAATAATACGGCGACAAACAAGAACAACCATTTGTTCGAAATCAACTATATATAAATCAATATAAACAATTGAATAAAGTTCAAATTAATTTACAGTACTAATGTTATTTTTTTCTGCTTCAACTGCTGCCTAGATCAGATTTTTATATAAATGATCACTATATATAATGTGACTGTAGATAAGTAAAAAAACAATATAATGAACAGTAAAAAGGTATTATCGATCACCGTTGACCCTAAGACCACAGGGTACACAGTATCTCTTCTCTGAATTATAAAACAATGAGTGGGTATATATGACATGGGGAATTGGGAAAAAAACAGACAACATGCATGGTAAAAAAATCAACATAAAAATAAAATAAATTAAATAAATAAACTCCTTATTTATAAAAAAATGAATATGGAAACTTGGTGAAAAACATAAACGGTATGAAATGTTGGCGTACCGAAAATGTTCGATTTTACCGATTTAACATCCTTAAATTCACATTTGGAGGGGTATTTTCATAAGATAATATATAGTTGATGTGGGTAGTTATAATTATTAATTACCCAAACATGATGGACTTTTCATAATTTGACCATAACTCAAAGGGAGGGCCGTAATTTGCCATATGTATAATAATTTAAGACGATTTTGATTCATGTTTCAATAATTTTTTTATATTTATCATAAATTTTAAATTATATAGTTAATAAAATCATTATTTTAATTAAATTCATAATCAATATTTTGTTAATAAAATAGACAAAATTTACAATTAACATTAAACTTATAATTTTATAACATATTTGGTGAAATACCATGGGAGACCAAACCAAATCCTATTCTATATAAATGGTAAAATGGTGAAACATTAATATTTTATTATTTGGTGTAAAATTTGATAGAATTGGTGGGAGACCAAATACACTATTTTGTTATTAAAAATAGAAAAAATATAGAATGTTGTGCTACGGGTGGGAGATAACACCATTTTTTCACCACAAAAAATAGAATTTGATGAAAAATTGGTGTTAAGGGTGGAAGATGCTCGAAGTACTAAAAAAAATATGAGTATGTATTTATCAATATTAAATATTAAATTTATATACAGATTCACAAATTCTAAAAATATATTCCAAACACTAATATATTTGTTACTGTCAATTATAAGTGTGTATCCATAAATTATATGTGTTTAAACTTGCATTTTTTTCGGCATCCTAGATGTACTAGTGATAATGATTTTTTACTGCAACCATAAGCGGTAGTAAAATGACTTTTGCTATGCATACGAGTTTGCATCGTTGTATATACGGTATATACGGACATGACAAAAACTTTGTTACGGTAAATTCTAGCATTTACTAGAACTCTAAGACTGTCACGTATTATTACGGTTTTTTACCGTAGCAAAAAAAATTATAGTAAATAGTCATTTTTCTACTATGCGTGTATTAGTGAAAGAAATTATTTTAGAAGTTAAATCATTTTAAAGAAAAGATAAATTCATGGAATTATTTTTTTAAATTTTCATTTGAAAAAGCACCCGGGAGATGAATTCGTTGGAAAATCAGATGCTACACCTGGTCGTTTACTAGGGGTGAGCATAAAAACCGAGAAACCGAAAAACCGAACCGAAAACCGAAAAAACCGAGCCGATATATACCGTCCCGACTTAAAACCGCATACACGGTAAATATTTTTTGAAAAACCGAGAAAATCGGTACGTGTATGGAGAAAAAGAAAATTGCCGAACCGATTTACCGAACCGAACCGATTTAAGAATACAAAACAATTCAATCAATTCTTCATCAGTACTCAAGTTTAAATTACCATATAAGTTTTTTTGAAACTTGTTTCTGTTGCCGTTTAGAGACTTATTAATATGTGGTGTAATTTGACTTCTTTTGGGTTGTGGCTACATTGTTTAAGTTTTTTTGGTACTCAGATACTTAATCTGAACTTCTTTTGTGTTAGGCAACATGTTAACTTTTTTTGAAGATGACATTAATGACATCAAGTTTATTAGTTGTAATCTCATTCTGTTTTTTTATGGCAGCAGGTTTTTATTTTTTTTTTTATTTTTTTTTTATTTTATTTGTTGATTTTTTATTGTTACTTGTTAATTTTCTCAAAGAAATGTGATAGAAGTCAAAATTCACCGTTAATTATACACCGGTTTTATACCGAACCGATAACGAAACCGAAAGCGAAAATAAACCGAATTGATACCGATACCGTTCACCGAAAACCGAAAAACCGATTAGTACCGAACCGAAAAAAAACCGACATACACGGTTTTAAAATATGGAAAACCGATATTATCGGTACGTGTTTGGATTATTGCAAAAACCGACCCGTACCGACCCGTACACACCCCTATCGTTTACATTTTGGTAGATTTAAGCCATAGATCTACATATAATATCGCACATGTACGTGTATGTGTGTTTAGGATAATTATTAATCAAATCTACGGTTCAAATTCACCCTATATAAATAAACATGTGTAACATCTGACTACCGATTTTGTTAAAGTAAATGAAATAATAATAATGGGAAAAAAAGTAATAGTAATAATAATAATGGGAAGAAAAGTAAAAGCATTAAATTAATTTAAAAAAGATTGGCCGAGTACTTGAGTATGATAATAAATGCGTAATCTTACTTTTAAGAGGAATGACGTCATGGTGACGACATGATCAATAAATAGTTGAAAAGTAGATCGTGGGAGGGTTTTTGGATTCTGTACTCCCATTCATGGAAATACACATGATATCCTGTTACCCTATCGCTTTTAATTCTATGCCAATTTGGACAACTGTCTCTATGCAACGTCGTCGTCTTCATTCATTTATTTGTATTACGGTATTACCCTTTTCCTTTTTTCGAAGTTTTAACCCTCCTAATTAAACTTTTTTTTTTAAATTAAATATATTAATTTGAAAGATTAAATAATTATATCTTGGTGTGATTTTAAATTGCATCATATTTTAAAGATGTTATTATTATTAGGGAATATTACAACCAACCCTTGAGGGTATGGTCAAATTACAAAAAATCCCTATTGTTTAGGTAATTAGAATCACCCCCCTCAATTATAAACCTTCTTACACGTTCACCCTTTTGGTTTCATATTTAATGGATCTTCTAGATTATATGGAATATTCTCAATTTTGTACCTGTTTTTATCCCATTATATCTCCACATTTCGAAGCAAGATGATCATAAGATGTGTTTATGGGCTTGTATATATCAGATTGTGGTGCAACAAAAGCTCTATTTTTGCCCAAAATGAGTACAAACTAGAGAAAATTCCACATAATCTAGATGATTACGTTGAATTTGACACCATAATGGTGGAGATGTAAGAAGATTCATAGTTAAAGAGTAAATGTAATTATCCAAACATGATGGTCTTTTTCGTACTTTGATCATATACCTCCGCGGTGGTTGTAATCAGGGACAAGTCCACCCCTATTGGGAAGGTGAACTAAGCCCACCCTTATATTACTAAATTTTCCCCATATTATACCTATATATTTATTAAGCCCACCCAATATTTATTAATTAGCCCATCCAAAATTCAAATTAATACAAAAAAGCCCCAATTATTATTAATTATGCAAAAAAAACCCTTTTTTTTTCTTCTTTTTTCTTTTTCCTATTCTTTTATTTTTTCACACAGAGGTCCTATATTTTCTCGAGTGCAGGCTAAAATTTAAGTACATCATGTATCACATTCGTGGACTCGATGGTAATTTACCCTTATTATTGTGATCGTCTATTTTAAGCACTGATGGTGTCAAGTTATAAATGATCAGAAACGGACAAGAAATGGAGGGGGGGTGGGGGTGGGGGTGGGGGGTAGGGGTAGGGTGGGGTTGGGGGGTTGTGAGGTAAGGATGACGTAATATGGGAAGGTATGCCAAATGAGTCATGTCAAATATAAAGGCTAACATTGGATCTCCACCCTCCCTTCTGTCATGCAATTTATTATTTTTATTAGTGAGAGTGATGATCCATCCAACACCTATTGTGCTGCTTCATCTTCAAGAAAATGACTTGTCATTGCCCTGAATCCTTTGCAATATCTCCTCTCTCTCTCTCTCTCTCTCTCTCTCTGTTGAGTAAATTACAACCACCTCCCTGAGGTATGCCTAAATTACAAAAAAACCCCATCTTGTTTGGGTAATTACAACCACCCCTCAACTATAAATCTTCTTACACGTCCACCCTTAAGGTTTCAAATTTAGTAGAATCTTCGAGATTATATGGAGTATTATCAATTTTTGTACCCGTTTTATCCCATTCGAACTCCACATGTTGAAGCAAGATGATCATAATATGTGTTTTTTGGCTTGTATATATCAGATTCTGGTGCACCAGAAACGGTATGTTTACACAAAATGAGTACAAATTAAACTAGAACACAATTCCACGAAATCTAGATGATTATGTTGAATTTGACACCATAAGGGTGGAGATGTAAGAAAAAAATTATAGTTGAGGGGGTAGATATATATAATTATCCAAACAAGAGAGGTTTTTTCATAAATTGACCATACCTCAGGGGGTTGGTTGTAATTTACCCCTATATGTTATACCAAAAGCCCGGTTATGGCAATGTTTGGCGTATGTTGGGCCTATATATTATTTGAATTCATATGAGAGTCCTACAGTATACAAATGTTCATTCACAAGTAGTTTAACAATTGCTAATTTTGCTTAAAAACAAAAACTAAATTTAAAATTGGTGTGGCTAATTAATCACGTGATTAATTAGAAAAAGTCCAGTGTTGCACTTAGAATAGTCAAGCCCCTCTGGGTGTATAAATTAAATTTTATGAACACCTAAGTACAAAATTGCACATGCATTATTAGATTAAATTTGACGAGTGATGATGCTAATGTGTAGCTCACCTAGGGAGTATAGGAAACAAGTTGGGAGAGCAAAGCTGATCAGTAGCTAGTCAATTCGATGCTCCTGAGGTCCCTACAAAATAAGCACACGTGAACTAAGCCGGGGGTTGATCCGGCGGAACCCCTCTCCGCGGCAAGCGGCTTGTACGAATCGTAAAGGGAATAGAGAGAATAAACTCGTGGTGGATAATCAATAATGAGAACGTACCTTTACAAATGAATAAAACTTCTATTTATATGTCGTTGATTGAGTTGGGCTTATTTTGTTGGGCCCAAGCCTTATTTTGAAGGTGCTTGGGCTTTCGCGTAATGGTCCCAAATACTTTCGTGTACTTGGGCCTAATTGTTAAATGAATTGGGGCCCATTGGGTCGGCCCAATTAGGTATATCATTAAGCCCCCCAACTCTCGATTCGAGATGGGAACTTGTGTAGAGGTATCCGGGTCGTCTCGAGAGTTAATTGCGTCGTTTATTGAATTGGTGGTGAAATAATTCCTTAATTTAAATAAGGGATTATTGTATTTATGTGCAGCCAGTATATATTTAAGGGTT